TTCAATAAGAAAAGGGGGGGTTGACGTAGTGGAGGAAATTAGAAGAAGACTTATGTTTTTTTTTTTGTTTATTTTTGGCCAAGCGTGGGGGTGATATTTTATTTTTATAGTATAAAACTCAAACGCTTTTTTAAATTTTTTTTTTTTTTTTTTCACTCAAGCAGTGATGAAATTTGTTGCATCTTTGTGCTTTTTCAAGGAATGCTTTATTATTTGACAACAATGTTCTATTAAGTAAGTTTTAACTTGATTAAAATGCCTTTATAAATTCTAACCCGGCTTAGTTGCTATCATTTACAAGCAGTAGTCATTTAGAGTATTGTGGCACATTTAAAATGTACTGGAATTCCACGTCTTTCCACAAGTTCCGTAGAAGTTTCTGTTTACGTATTTGTACCGAAGCACAAAATCCTTGTCAGTAATTATATAAAAAAAACATATCGATTATTTTCGTAGCATTAAAGATAAATCTAAGCTTCAGAACGTTGCTAAGATCTTGCTTATAACAAGAATGTAATTTATTAGCCATAAATTAAAAACAAATAAACGTTTCTTGGACTCTGCTTTAGTGAGTTCAGTAGTAAAAAAATTCGCACGAGTTGATTTAATCGAGTTCCCAAACGAATAGAGAAATTAAGAGAGCCTTCGTCTATGCTCACCATTCTTAGAAATTTTGAGAAAATGGTTCATGTTTGATTCTACTTTTTCAAGTTTTAAAATCGTTAGTAAATCATCGCTGGTTGGGTATTGTGTTGTGAGGTAGTTGGATATCATTTGGTTATGTGCAGTATACCAAGAACCTTTCCCAGCACAACCACCGTATTCGCTTTGATGAGGCGGTTATTCGGCACCACGTATTTTGCTTTTCTTTTCCCTTTAACACCGGTGAACGATCATAAAAGATAAGAACCGCGAAAGAAACGTAACAAAAAATATTTTCAAGGCTTGATATAGCATTATATTAAAAACAGCAAGCAATCAATCAAATACACATGCACCGTCCTGTTGCTGTGAAAGTGCTGCGCTTGTTCGAGTAATAACGGTAGGCGTCGACCCTTTCTCAAGGGAGTCCGCCCCTGGGGGAGTTTAACTTCCGTGTTAATTTTTGAATCTTAAATTCCAATATCTCGCCATAACTGTGAGCGCTATTTTGGTTTCTCACAATCAATCAATCAGTTTTGTATTCGTTTATCAAGCGCGGACACTTTCGTTAGTTCCAAATTATTTTTCTCTTCAGTTCGGTTTCATCAATAATCCGAAACAAGAGACGAAGCCAAGAGTAACCGCTTTCTGGCAGCCAGGAAGCCACAGCTAAGCAAATTCCCAATCTTCTTCAAAACGCTTCATTACTGAGCTTCGATAACAATATAGATATTTATTGCAAATTTAAAACAAAAACTTTGACAAAAAGAACAAAAAGGACTAAGATTTTGAAGACACATTTTTACATACATACATATAACATGTGTTTTCAAGATTGTAAGACAATTTTAACTTGGCCGCGGGTAGCTGTGCCATGATTCTACGCTAGGTGGGTAATGTTTTCAGAAAATAAAGAAAAAGAGAACTAGTGACTCACGAATGTTCTTTCGCCACCATGGGAACAGTCAAAAGCTGTGTCAGAATGCAATAAAACAAGCTAGTTGCCTGCTGCTTGGAAAACTACTGACTCTGTAACAGTATTTCATTTGTTCACGCGACATCAAATGGGCTGATTTCAGCTAACATGATGTTTATTAGTTTATTAGAAATTCAGCACTGTTAGTATTGCTTATCAGTGCAGTCGAACGTGTTTCAGTTTTTTTCTGCTGAAGCGATATTCTTCCACCTCCCTTCCGGCTTCATCTGTACTAATTGCCAATAAATTTTAGTGCCAGCTAACAGGACTGACTTTATCTCCTTCTGGCAACGAGTTCGAAGATCTCGATCGCAGTTGAAAGGAACTGCATATATTAGACTGGAAAATTACTCAAAGCTCTGGGAACGCTTGCTGAAGCGCAACTGTTTTAAACGTCAAAAAAATTACCCGGAGTATTAATTCCTTGTGCCATGATTTCTATCTCCTCGACTTTGGTTCTTGTCGTGAGTTCGTTTTTTGTTATCTCATCAGGAATGAACTTTTTAGTAATAATGTACCTTGTACATGTATCGCCGATTAGGTATACATATATGTGATTGTTCATTAACACTTACTAATGACAAATCGGGCGACTGACGTCTATTATCTAACGTTTTTAGAGGCTGGTATCAA